CATGGGCAGAAATAACTGCTTATATTCAGTCACCGTTGTTGTCACCCTGTTTCCTACATAGCAAAACATTTCCAGTCCTTCCATTACAAATTTATCAGCTTCTATTACTCCTCATTTTTCCAGCTGCATCAATGAAAGCAGCAGATTTATAACAAAGAACTGTTTAATATTACGTATAACTAAAGTTCTTTCAAAATGTCAGTATTTTCATATACTGTCTTAAAGGCTTTCTCAGCATCAAGTCCTTAAAATTACAAGTAGAAAAGATTAACCTTTTAAAATTAAACATCTGTTTTGATTTGACAACAAACAAAAATAAATGAAATAGTTCAATTTCTGCTCATCTTATCTGTGAAACCCACATCAGAATGACATCTGGATCAATTTTCTGCATTGAGAGATCATGTATTTAAATGTTTAACTTCTGTATGCTCACATCTGCTTATCAGATTGGCTTTTGATACGTTTGTGCTATAAATTCCTTACTGGATAACGACTTGGAGGATTAAGCTTTTTGAATTTATTAGAGTTAAAACCTTATTGCAGTTTTCACCTTATTATTGTAACTGTGTGGTTGTGTTAAACTAATCTGCCTAAAGAAGCCGGCAGCCATACTAGGCATCATGTTGAAGGCTAATGTGACCATAAAGATAAGATAAAGCAATGTCTTGGAGTCGTAAAAAGATAATGAGCACCCAGATTTGCATGTTGTAAAGCCTCTTACCTCCTTTTGTAGAGCAAAGTAACCAGCTTTAATCTGCACCTGAAGGTTGCATGCAATAAAAAAAAAAAAAAAAGCATTTCTATAAGATCCCTCGTTTGTGAACTTGAAGGCACCTGCGTGTCATTTGGCTTGAAATGGATCTGCTGTGCCTCTTTCTGCAGCACCACCTGGCCCGCACAGTCGGATCACACATAACTGATTATCATCATTCACAGGTAAGTGTAGAAACTTTATCAGGTGGTAGATTAGGATGTTTTAAGTTTTTATTTTATATACTTGCAATTACAGATTTCTTCTCTTAAACAGTTAGGGTTCATATCGTAAAAGCAAATTTCAATATCAGATAAAGATGGCATTGGTATTTACAATGGATATTCTCATTACTGAAACCAACCTGACTTTGTTTGAATCTAATCGCCCCCCCTAAACCTACTAACTGGTTATCAGAAACGACTGACATCAAGCGTTTGTGATAACTAGTAATGAGTCCTATACACCACTGGAACACTGGAAAAAATCTAAATCTAGATAAGTCATTTTTTCTTAAAATAAGTGCATTTGTTCTTGGCTTGAGGAGGTATAAGAGAAATTTTGCCAATGGAACAAGACAACTTACAATTAAAATAAGAAAACACAATTGCATTGTCTTATTTCAAGTGCATATGATCTAATTATCTTATTTTAAGAGTAAAAATACTCATTCCATTGGCAAAATATATTTTATTTACCTACTTAAATTAAGAGTAAAAGGTCTTAATTTAATTTTTTGCTATTTCTAGATTGTTTTTCCAGTGAAAAAGTTGGCCCATTCTTTTTTGCAGCATTGTTTTGAGGTAGTCGCATAGCCTGTTTGCAGTAATATCACCTCCTTCTCTACTGGATTGAGTTCTAGACTTTGACTGCCACACAAAAAGATTCAGATGTGGACAAATATCTTACTAGAGTGTTTTGGTATCTCTGTCCTGCTACATAAATCAGCAGCAAAATGGAAGTCAACCATCAGCAGAAACATAGCCTTATTGTATAATCTTTAGGGTAATATTGCACTGAATCACTTTACACTTTGGATATGGAAATTAATAATGTTTTTACAGTACATAACATTATTAATAATGTTAAACCATGCTGATAAAATAAATGCATGCAAAAGATGAGCAAATATTTATGAAATGGTTTATTTGCGGGCGCCAAACTGAAAAAAGAAGCTGTGTTTTTGAATCGAAGTCATATTTTTAGCTTTTTGTGATTGTAGCTGTTTCCAAGGCTTTTTGCACCTTTTTTATGTAACCTGATGCATTTTTATGTCCTGGTCTTTTTGACATTTTGTTCGTTTTGATGTCTTCTTGAAGCAGCACTGATTTTTTTTTTTCCTTTCCTGTTTACTGTATGTCTTGTCTCTGTGTTTTAAAGCTACCTTCACTACAGTGATGTCTGGGGCTATTTCACTAAGACTTTATAACCTTATTAGTGTAGTTTATTGTTTACATTCATTGGTGTTTTCTTCCTGTTTTGTCTTTTTGATTTTTAGCTTGTATCAATTTGTTGTGTTTGAATTAACTGGAGCCTGTTTTTTGAGGATATTCCAGTAGTTCTGAGTCACTTTATATTTAACTTAATACTGAACCTTAACCCTTTGCTGTTTTACAGTCATTTTGTTTCAGTTTGTTAGTGACTGACTTAAAAGTTACTAAACAAACACAAAGGATAGGAAGTCCAAGATACATAAAAATGACGTCTGTACCTAAGCACACGTGCAAAAATTGAGGGAGGAGATCTAAATACATCTATTATTAGACTGTGTAGAATAATTGAAACTCAGCCAAATAAGGAGAGTTGGTTGAATGTTTTTCTTGCAGCAAATGTCTGTATTAGAATCTGGCAGACATGAGAGCTGCAGCCTCAGAGCGTTATTTGCAGAGCACACAGCTCTGCGAGGGCTGTGTCCCTATGCCAGAGAAATGTATTGAAGTTGTTGAAAAAGCTCAGGGGAATCTGGGATGCAGCCATTAAACCCTGTTAGAGGAGCAATAAATTGTGAGGATTATTACAGGGAGTTCCTCCAGAGTGTACATAACCGCTTGGCTTTAGGAGGCTTCGGGGGGGAAAAGGAAGTTAGGAGTTTTGACATGTTCCTCTTTATATGCAGGACTGTGTTTTATCCTATAAAATGTGTGAGAGGAGTTGCACAGTGAACCATAAACAGCTTTGACGTTTCTTCTTCTGTGTGCAAGAGGGTTCATTCTTTTTCCCAGGAGGTTTCACTGGCACTGTAAAGCAGCAAGGTTTACACAGCAGAACAATCTATTAGTGGTTACAGAAAATAGTGCTCGTACTTTCTGGTTCATTAAAGTCGCTCTTCTACTGCATGGACCATAGGTTACCCAAAGTGATTCCTCAGAAATTAAAAATGCTATATTTAAAAACAAGACTACAAAACAGCAAAGAAGAGCAAATTGGATAACAGTTTGCTGATGGACCAGAAACCCATCTTCTGTAAGACGCAGTAGAAAAAGACAAATATTTAGGTCCAGGTCTAGAAAAGTTTATTTTTCTGTTGCAACATTACTAAAATATTATAAGCAAATACTTTTTGACAAACAGCACATTTATGGTAAAAACAGATTAAACTTTTGCATTTAAAGCTCAGAGAAGATGCTTTCTGTTATAATTTTCTCACAGTTTGTCTCAGTTGAGCTCTTCCAACATACCAATATTTTTGCAGCCATTCTAATATAGATTTCCTGCTTAGTTTGGTGTCAGTGTCCCATCCTGACTAATCTTAAACTTACAAATATATCTTTACTTATTTAGAATACTATGGTATCCAGAGGTCTTCGTGGAGGAATGATTGTAATGAACTAAAATCCTGCATTTATAAAACAAGCCCAAATCATGACTCCTCCACTGCCATACCTGACAGGTGTTGTAAGCATGCCTACCTCAGTGTGACCTGGTCAGATGGCTCATTCAGATACACAATGGCAGCAAAGTCCTGCAGCTGTATTGTTTTAAAATGTCATCAACTACCCATTGTTTTCAGATTACGGTATTCATGATCAAGTCCTTAAAAGATCCAAGACAGAAACAAAAACAATGGCTTTGCACAACAACTCATTCTGCAGGATCCCAGGGCTTTTTAGCGGATATAAAGGGATATATTGACCATTAAGATCTGCTATCTCTCTTCAAAGGACATGCCAAGAAAACCTCCAATAGGTGACTAGGAAACATCCTAATCAGGTCCATGAACCAAAGTGGCTCAATGCTGTCCACCCAAACTCTTCATGTCAGCCCAGCAACATACAGGGGAGGTTTATATCTTGTGCTGTAGATCACTAATGAGGATACAATGTTTTTAAAAGAGCTGAGCTCATTAATCACCATAAAAAAAACAGAATAGAGCTTTTATTAGTGCAACCAAGGCTCAATATGTGCCATCTATCTCCAACTCCATCCTGCATCACTGGTGAACTATAGCTAAACTCCTTTACCTGAGGCAGACGCCACCTTTCCCCTCGTTTGAGTATCAGGCACCAAAATATTTCACACTTGGCTTCAGATCATAGCTTAAAGACGTCTGCAGAGGTTTAGTCCTGGAGTCTCCATCTCCAAAACCAGGAACGCCATAATTGGAGTCAGAATCAAGACACAGCCTTGCTCAAGCTTTTTTTAAAATGCAGACCCCGTTAATGCTTTGATGATAGCCGGAACTTTATTGTTTATCAAACTATGGCCAGGAGAGATGGAGCTTTTGGGTTTTCTGAGGGCTTTGACACATTTCTCTGAGCGTTTCTTCATTTAAATGTATAATGAAATTGGTCGGATGTTTACTGTCAAGAAGCTGAGTATTTACAGCTGCATATAACAAATGGTTGGCTTCTTAAAAATTCAATACTAATGTATTTCTGGTTTAATAATATCCTGGCTTGTTTGCTCCACCTCCATCCAATACTAAAATGGCTTAGGGTCTGATACATTTTTATAAACTCCAGGAAATGCTGTAACATCTCTGAAATATCCACATCTTTTTTTATGCTTTCCAATCTTGTAAATGGTTATAACCAGTTACTGGATAGATGTGTTGCTTCTCTGAGCTAATTTCTGCCCCCAAAGCAGCAAACTACCAGAACTTGTTCCATTACATGGGTGGAAATCATTGAATAAATAAAGTTTATTTGGTCAGTAGCTACTAAAATGATTTAATCTTGGGGAGTGCACATACTCAACCTTTAACATCAGCTACAGCCTCCCTGCAGTTGGAGCATGCAAAACTCACCAGGTCTTTGGAGGTACCGAGTCTCTTAAGCCCATCCAGGGGCAGCAGGTCAGCCGAGTCCTTGTGTGTGAACTGGGTGGCCTGCTTAAGACGCCTCTGCTGGTGCAGGATGGCTTTGTCCCGGATGGCCAGCTCTCCTTTCTTCGTCTCACTCATTGTGTCTTTGCAGGAGACAGAGTGGATGTCAGGATTTCAGGTTGCTGCTTTAATGCTGCAGAATAAACGTGCAGATGTTCCCCTCTGTCTTGTCAAATCCTGCTCCTCTTCCCTCATTTACTTTTCCTGAGCGCTCTTCTGATGTAGAGAAGCATCTTCATCCCTCTCTGACTGAACATATGAGGAAGGTGGGACTAGGTCTATGTGTGGTGCTTTCTGCCCTCCCCTCAGTGCTGTCAGTCCTTGGATCCTCCTCTTCTCACAGTGTTTGCTCACCATTCAGAGCACATCTCTGACTTTACAGAGGGATGACAGGACGGCTCTCTGGGCTCTGTTATTGCAAAACAAAAAGATGATGCTGCATGCAGTGTTTGTCCAGCTGGACTGGATGAGGTTGTCCTGCTGAGGGAGATTACTGTGATCTGACCTCCCAATGAAGATCAATCTGGCAAATATTGATTTCCTCTCTCCCCTACTTTGATTGTCACAGTTAAAGCCAGAATCCAATTTCTTCCTTCCATTCATTCACCACCCAATGCTATAAATATCCCATCCAGGCTTTGTCCATGACCTCTAGACAATGTCCCGTTGGAGACGCTGCAGCCCTCAGGTGAGGAAGGTTTGGATGACCAACATGAAGAACTTTGATAAAAAAAACAAACGTTTCCTAATCAGGATACAAAACGTTTTTCAAACAGTCCTCGTGAAGGTGAAAATACAGAGCGCGTTTAGAGCTGGGGGGGTTATTTAATGGTAAGTGCTGCCCCCTGCTGGATAAATCTGTTTTCTGGTAAACCAAGAAATAAACATACATTTTAACGGTTCTATACAGGGGCCAACGGGCCATTTCCTGGCCCCTATTATGGCCCCTGTACTGAACACATAATACTTAACAGAAATTCTAATGATGCTATGCACATAGTTACTGATAGGTCCTTTGGATCTATTTCATTCTTTTTCTTTACAAATTCTGTTTTACTACTTATTCAAAAACAATTTATTTTATTTTATTTATGTGTTTATTTGAACAGGGACAGTGCACATTAATAAACATTTCTGTAAATGAGCCAGTG